AGGGAGAGTTGTTTGTGCGTGGGGCTTTTTGCCAGTAATTGATGACGATGCTAGATTTGGTTTTCCTTGTGGGGTGAGGGGTGGTGGGAGCGTGGGGAGGGTAATCGTAGGGTCTGATTGATGGGGTCTTACGGGGGCAGGAGTACATCGGGCGTTTATGTTATTGGTTTTTAGTAAGTCCAATAGTGCAAAGGGTTATTATTTATGTTATATGTGGAGTATTAACGTAAGTTTTTATTTGGTTACGGGTTAGTTGGTTTTGTATTTTTTTATGTTGGCACAGGGGTGTTGTTTGGTAGGTTCGTGGTTTAGTTTAATGTATGATGGAGTTTGTGAGTTATTTATATTTTTATATAACAACAATGTTTTTGCTCCTTTTGGACATATCGGTAAGTTTATTTGGTTTGTGGTTGTGTGGTTCCAGATATATTTTGGGAATAGCGATTTATTCTTTTGTGGTAAGTTTTGGTTATTTTAATCTGTATTTTGTATTGTTTTGGTTAGGGTAAGGGGGGGGTGTCCCTGCGTGCTAAACCTTCATCAGGCTACCTCCATTTTCCAATCTGCTTGAATTTTGGATGAGAATACTAACTTTTTTCTGCACAGGCTGTCGTATTTTTTATAAATTGTGCCCTTTTAGAGATTTTTTTAAATCACTGTTTACTGTAAAATCTCTTTGTTCCTGGATTTTAATTTTGCCCTCGACAAAATCCTAAAACCTAATCGCCTCTTGTCAGTGAAAATGTGAACAGATATCCGTTATTATAATCCAGCAGCACCTGCGGTCTCTTTTTATAAACGTGGCTATTTAATGCCCCTATAAGCTAATAATACGTAACAATATTTACATGGATGCTTTCATTATCAGTTAGCAGCAGTGTGGTTAATATTTTTTAAATTTTTTGATTTTTACACTGCCTTTTTAGAGAGAAATCAAGTCTTAGATTTGATTAGAACTTACTGATAATTAATGAATTATCTTAAAATCTGATTTATTTACATTAAAACATTCCTTCGACACAAACATTACTTTGCAAGGTACGCACAACCAAAATAAGTTTGTAAAAGCAGAATTTGAACACTGTTTCTGTGCTCCTACAATATCTTTTTTATTTACTGTGCAAACGTTTTCATTAACCGCAGACATTCATGAGGCATAAAACATTTCCACAAGCTTCACATGACATACATAATAACACCATTCTGCTTCAGAGTAAGGAGACATTTTATATTGCTTTGAGATGTGTGTGTATCATGTGATGCTTTGAAAATGTGTTGTGTATGATAAAGATCTGTTTGATTGAAATGTTTCACACACTTTGAACTGATTCTATTATTTTAGCTTCAAATCTTTCAAAAACAATGCATTGGTTGTTTTTAAATTTCAGTGGGAAAATCCAAAGAATATACAAATATATTTGTTCTGTAATGTCAGTAAGGTGATTAAAAATCCAACAGCACCTTTTTTTTAATTAGAGATTCACAGCACAATAATGTAGTGTAATTTGCTCATCAAACTTTTAAAGTGTTTTCAGAACATCCACTTAAATTGCTGACCCACAATCAGATGTATTACTAGTTAAAAATAGATGAAAAGAATCAAACTAAAACGTGTTTATTTCTTTGATAAAGTAACATAACAGTCAATTGCAGGACTTTAAACCCCGTTCAGTTTGGATGCTGAAGGAATGTACATCAGGTTTAACACCAAGTCACAGAATGTATTTTCTACAAATCATCTACTGTTATCTCTTTCTAAAGAACGAAGTCCCAGAAAGAGACAAACCTTCATAAACAGCACTTAGAAATCCTTATCCTTCACAGTATCGCATCTCAACACTAATTCAATTCACTGCTGACCCTCTCTGTCGACGCACACGTTACGCACTATAGCGCTCATCAGCTTACAATTAAAACAGGGAGTTTGGACCACACACACACCTGCAGTAGGAGTAAACACTAAACACGCACACATGTTACAGGTGAGGTTTCACTGGGATGTCATCTGTTCATCACAAGCAACTGAGTGAACATGTTATGTACCCGGAACTGCGTACCTGAGAAACTACACCTGTTGCCTGTTAATTTATTAGCTTATGTGTTAGTCGAGAAAGCGTTAGAAATGTTGTTTTTATATATATTTTTTTGTTTTCTTGCAATGTCAATTTGATTTAAGGAAGTGATTTGGAAAATATGCTCGATGATAATTCGCTTTCTGGAGGAGTTAAATAAGAAGATTGATACTACCCTTTTAAATATTAAGCTAACGGTTTACTTAGCAAGCTAACGGTGAGCTTACTTTACAATAACCAGGGGGAAACTGATTTGTTTTACTTACTTGAGTATCGCAATATAAAATTATTTAACACTTTATCGATATTCAACACTTGTACAATTAAGTTTACATGCAATATTCATGGCAGTCCGTGGCTCAAATATAAAAAAGTAGTCATAACGGTTTACTTAGCAAGCTAACGGTTAATTTAGCAAGCTAACGGTTAGCTTACTTTACCACAAGGGCGAACGGAAAACAGATATTGATATACTTCAGCATGACTTTTTTATACTTGATCATGATAGTTAGAGCTAATATGTTGGATATTACATAAACTGATAATCCCACTGCTCTGATAATTGTAAAACAAACATATCTAACGTTAAATAGCCATCTCATGAGTGCTGATTTTATTAGCATTTTACCTCATTTCTGGTGTATAGATCACCTAATGCTTGCTTTCAATCTTATATAAAATGGCATCAATCTATTATAATTCCACCATAAAGCAAATAAAAGTATTTCCCAAAATGTTACCAATTTCCTTATGGAATGGAGGAAGAGTGGATGTTTGAGTCTTAGCCCCCTGAATGTCTGTTCATCACATATGGACTTTTAACAACCCATATCCAACAGGAATTTGTCCATCAATGTCCAATTTATTTTAGTAAATGATGCTTGTTTTTGCTGCTACAAACATACCTTTTCAGAAGTCTGTGGATGCATCTTCTGAAGATTTAAGTTGCAGAAAATGAACACTTCCTGTGGCAGCATCCTCGTAACAAAAGCAGATATGTAACGCTTTGTTGCTCGACATAAACAGAAATACAAATCTAACAGCTAACCCCCAGCTCTGCTCCTCCCTTCATCAGCTGGCTACAAGTAGAATAACTTATTTACAATTTTGTAAAACAAAAAAAAGTGCAAGACTTTGTACTAATCTTCAAATAAAGAGGCTTTGATACCACAACAGCTGTCTTGTCTACTGGATTTATTTCATTTTCCTTTACAGTAATGAATGATTAGTTTGTGAAATGTACCAGAAGGACATTGGGAATAGTCTAACTTTATTTAAGATATTTACAGTGTTACAGAGGAAGAAAAGAACGAATAAACTTGTTAAGACGTGCTGATTTGTGTGACCACTGATTGAGTTCAAGGTGTTTTCAAGATCGCTCCACCCAGCTCCGATGACCTCCACGCATCCATTATTCTAGTTAAACGATCGCAGCCAAACACCAAATGAAAGTGGAGTGCATGCTGGGATTTCCCTCTTCTTTTTGGGCCCAGATGTGGGAGTGCACAACATCCATACAGACAAATAAAAAGCAGCAAAGAGCGACAGAAGGAAAACAGACGAGTGCATAGTGATCTGCTCCCAGAAGCCACCGGTGATGAAAGGAAAGTGTGTTTGTGTTTCAAACTTCACGACTGAACCCCCGCCGTCCGCCCCCACCAGGCACGTCATGGTCGACTCTGCTAAAATGTCCCAGGATTCAGTGTGTTTTTCTACTTCAAAAGCAGGATTACAAAAGCGCTACAGGCCTGGTGTTAAAGTGGAAACAGGCTCTGCTCTCAGGGCTTCCCGAGGCTCCACAGGGGGTCCAGGCTGCCGAGGGGGTCGTCTCCTTCCTCCCCCCGGGGGGCCCCGTGGATCCCCTGACCCTCTGCCGGCTGCAGGAAGCTCTGCTTGGTCACCCGCTGCTTCCCTTTGCCCCCGCCCTCCATGGAGAAGGCCTCGGGGGTCATGGCGGCCAGGAGCTCCAGGGAGGAAGGAGCCGGAGCAGAGGAGGCTGGAGGAGGAGGAGGAGGAGGAGGGCTGACGCTGGGGGAGGCAGGTGGTGAGGAGGGGGCGTCCAGGCCGTTAGGGGGTGGAGAGTGAGTGGGCGAGGTGAGAGGAGGGCTCAAAGAGGAGGGGGGCTCTGTGGGAGGGGCCTGGACGTCACTCAGAGAGTCGAGAGCGGGGCCAACGTGCTCCTCCACACCGCAGGGGGCCTCCAATGAGGGGTCTGTGGCGCTGGGGGGGCGGATGCTGAGTTTGGCGATGGTGGCCTGGATGGAGCTGATGGGCATGTCCCCCCCGAGGACAATGTCCTGCTGGGACTCCTGTCTGGAGTAAGGCTGCAGAGAGCAGGGGGAAAGAGAAAACATTCGGATGAATTGTATCGAGATCCAATCCAACTTTATTTATACAGCACGTTTAAAAACAACAGTTGACCAAAGTGCTGAACATCAATAAATATATAAATAAAGCAGCATAAATACATTTAGACAAAACCGATAGGACAAAAAGAAACTAATGTAAAAGCACGAGACAATAAAACCATATTTATAGCCACAGACTGAAAACCCTTAAACACGATGGAAAAACATTTTAAAACACAACAAAATAGAAAACCCCAATTTAGAAAACACAGACTGATACGTGATCTGCAAAAGCACGGGAGAACAAGTAGGTCTTAGGGATAAAAGATCAGCCTGATTTATATTGAGCTCCCTAAAGGAAGTGACTCGAGCTAGCTAATACCAATGAGCTTCACGTATCACTAATAACTACGCTGCTCTGACAGCTCTACTGAAAATGGAAGCCGTACCTCGACTGGCCACAACTCGTAGATTTCCTTTGGAACAACCATGTGAGCAAAATGTGAAATAATACAACATTATAACTAAGATCATTAATAAACAGTTTGTGGGGAGGAGAAGAGGAAAGCGTTCACAAGAGGAACTCTACTGACTTCAAAGGGGTGTTAAACTTACTGAAGAGTCTGATGACCCAGATGACCAAATCAATGAATTAGAACAAATGTGTTCATCAAGTTTGGGTTTATTTGACCAGTTGTTAAAATATGCATGTCTATATATAAGCAAAGTAGTGCGAGTAGTAGTTATTACATTTTTAAATATAGTTTTAAGTACCAGGTTTATGGTACGTAGAGTTTATCATATAACATAACCAGGCTAAACGTCACTGTTTTTAATCTGTTTACTTTATTATTTATGTTTTTTTTGTTGCGCTTATAAATCAAATTTATTATTATTATTATATTCAAATCAGACGAAACTTTCAGAACAGGCCTTTTCATTGATCGATTACTTTCACAAGTGAGTCCGTGAATATAGAGACAAGAAAACATGAAGTATTGAGAGTCAGACCTTGGTCCGGCTGCAGGCGGGGGTGCAGGTGGAGGTGGGGGTGGTGATGCCGTGTCTCTGCAGGACCTGCTCCACGTGCTTCAGCACCGCCTCGTAGCAGAACTTCAGGTGGAGCTACAGACAGGAGCAACGAGAGTATTCAAATCAAATGTCACGTCTGAAAATCCACTCCTTCAAGGACTTTGTGATTAGCGTGTGTGTGTCCTGCTGTTTTAAACATGATCTATCTGTCACAATAAGAATACAAATGGTATATTTGATATTGTTGCATCGACTCAGTTGTCTTGTGTCTTATCTGTCGGAGAGAAACCATTCTGTATTTTATTTTAATAAAATGTGTCTATTAACCTGATAACACGTTATATGTTGCTGCATGTACCTTTAAAGTTCTTAGCCAATCATCTGAGGGGAATTTCTTGTTGTTTGTTTTTAACTTGGGATGTGTCATTTTGTGTTGTATGAAAAGTGCTATATAAATAAAGCTTTGTTCAGGGTATATGCAGGAGTCCTGAAGTCACATGTAAAACCTTTTAAGACCCTTTCCATACATTTTAAGACCTCATCGCCACTTTGAGTTCTAACCGGTTACCTTGGCGACACACTTTACCTCACATTGACTATATACAGTATTGATTGTCCTTCCTCCTTATCTTCCAACCATTTGAACGCAGACTTGCATTTCCCCATAACGATGTTGTTTAACAACCGGCGTAAACGGACCTTCGCGCGCTATCAAGCAGTGAGCGTGCGATGTCCTGTTAAGATTACGTCAAACCCAACGGGATGCCATCAATAAACTACACAGAATCACACTACACACCTACGCAATGATTACATTCAGGCAGACTGTAGAATACAACCTCTTTGGACAATTTATATACTTATTGGAAACAAGCTACAAAATGTAAAACCTTGGAAAATGTCGTTTAATACTTTTCGATAGCCTTCATTTTCGCTAAATTGATTTATCAACTTTTAATACTTTTTAAGACCCCGTGGACCCCCTGTTTTTATTATTATTATTATTATTATTATTATTACTACAATGCGCCATATCCATCAGAAAGGTGTGTCTGTGTCTGACCTTCTCCTGCAGCATGTTCTTCCTCTGCTGCCTCATCTTCTTCACCAGCACAGGCAGGTCAGGGATCCCGTGGCCCGCCTCCAGCTCCTGCAGAGCGGCGTACAGCAGGCAGAAGGCGCCGGTGCGTCCCACCCCCGAGCTGAGAGACACGGACAACCGGCTGATAAGAAACACTTCTACTGACACCACTGAGGAGCTCAACTCAATCCACTGAGTACTGGAAATTGAACGTGTAAAAGACAATCACACTTTTTAAAATATTGTTTCAAGATGCTGTTTATGATATACGCCATGTCTTGTTGACATTATGGCTTTCTACTAATGACTCTGGTACTTTCCTCCTAAACTGCTCTTGTATTGTTTCTTATTTCAATGTCATATACCTCTTATTGTTTATTGTTTATTTCTCTATACATCTTTACCTACCACGAGTGACTGGACCCCACTCTCTTCCATAAGTGGGTCCAAAAGGACCCGTATTAGAATAATATGTGTTTTTATGCCATTTTTGTCATTTTGGTTAAGAAAAATCACTTTTATAATATTTAGTATTATATTTTGG